ACTTTTGCAGAATTTTCGACGTGCAGGTTTATTTTTAGCATTTTATTAATCTAGTTTGCCTGAAATCAGGTCTCGATGACGTACCTAATGACATATTGCTATGTTACGCCAAAAGTGACAAAATATCAAAGATGCAACTTTATAATTCACATCCACAAATTCACTATCAAGATCGTTACAATTAGCATCAACTTGCTTTTTGAATGTGTCAGGATTGTAGAATTTAATTTCAATTCCCACGAGTTTCTTGTCATGTATCGAGAGCTAGAGATACTTTTTGTAAATCAAGATGTATGTTTTTTAAATCAAGAAGAGAGACGACAGTTTTTGATCATTTCTGTTTCCGAGAGGGATTGAAAACGAGAACACAAGCTGGAATTCAAGATGGCTTCTAATCGTTTCTATATTCCAAATGTAAATGAATTTTTCGAAGGTTTGATCTCTTTTTTGCAGCAGTGCGGGGACTGTGTGAATGAAAATACCGATGGGGGGCACGGAGAATTTCTTGCAAGGCGTCTAGAGGAATATCAATGCACTTTGCGAGTGATGTATGGTCGAGTTACGGAGTCGACCCAGGACTACTGCAGCAGAATCAACTTACTCAGGATTTGGAACTTTTAATACAGATAATGAACTCCAGATTGCAATCACTTGCAACACTAAACAGTGACTTTCATTATGAAGGCAATACAGAAGAGTCAAGTGCTACGCAGAATTCACAGTGGAGTAACTGAAAGAATGCTTCTCACAATATTGTCCAGCCGTCGAACAATGAGGAAAAATTATGCTGTTGACCGAGTGGCATACGAAATTCTTGCCTCCGCCGACTAAGTGTCCGAGGAGACATTCCTGGCATCCTTGCAATATCTACCCAGCGAAACCCCAATGCCTCTCTTAGTCCATGGATTTGCTCTTGCCTGACCTTTCGAGAGTAAATAACTGTGAATTCTGCGTAGTACTTGACCTCCTCTGTAGTGCCTTTATAATGAAAGTCACTGTTTAGTTTTTGCAAGTGATTGTAATCTGGAGTCCATTACCTGCATTAAAAGTTCCAAATCCTGAGTAAGCTGATTCTCCTGGGCCGACCTCGTAACTCGACCATACATCACCCACAAATCACACAAAGTGCGTTGATATTCAGGATATTCCTCTTGACGTCTTGCAAGAAATTCTGCGTCCCCCCCATCGGTATTTAATTTTCTTTGCCACAGTCCCAGCACTGCTGCAAAAGGGAGAGTAAACCTTCGAAAAATTCACTTGCATTTGGAATATAGAAACGATCAGAAGCCATCTTAAATTCCAACCTGTGTTCTCATTTTCGGTCCCTCTCGGAAACAGAACTGATCAAAAACTGTCGTCTCTCTTCTTGATTTAAAAAACAAGCATCTTGATTTAGAAAAGGTATGTCATGATACGAGACAAGAACCACGTGGGAATTGAAGTTAAATTCTACAATCTTGACACATTCAAAAGAGCAAGTTGATGCTAATTGTATCGATCTTGACAGTGAATTTGCGGATTTGAATTATAAAGTTGAATCTTTGATATTTTGTCACTTTTGGCGTAGCATAATATTGCCGAAATTAACGAGGAGAAACACGATTTCTTAGCCAGTCATTTCAAGCATAGTAATGCAAAATTAAAGTACTCTAGATCTATTTTACCAACAATTACCTTTTCTTGTATTTCCTTGGCAACTCCTCGCTGATTCTTGTTGGGAGCTTGCGTTTTTGAAGTTGGAAATACAACTAGCATGTTCATTTTTTATACTTTTGATTAGAACTAAGCCATTTTTATTAAGTCAGTATTTTATTCGACAGACTATCTCTTTCCTGAGTTCGCTCAACCCAAATGTTTGACCCGATCAGCTATTCCTATTATAGATGTAGCAAAATGTTTGCTTTATTTGGTATGCTGTATATGTTTGTAGCTGGGCTTAATTACCATGGTCACACTTGATGACCTTTCCGGAAAAGATTAGCGGAATTAAATTACTATATTAGGGCACTAAAAACGATCCGATGTCACGTATATACATGTGTAACTGACCAAGCATTGAATCAGAATAGCATCTAAGATTTTCAAGAAAATCATACTAAATCCGAAAAGGCAAAAATTGCTTTAGAATATGACTGAACACATTAGAAATGTATAGCGCCACAAATAAATTAACATGTGGCATTTGTAGAGATTCAAAAGCATCTGGGATGCATGATATTGGTCGAGTTCTTTCTTGCGTTTCGCGGTGTCGACTGATCGAGTAAGGACAGAATGACAGAGAACGAGTGACTTATTGGGCTTATTAGGGACTTTGAGCAAACCGCTACAGCGACCTCAACTACCGGGGCGGCAGGAAGTAAAATAGCCCAAAAATGACGCACTGCTTATGCTTGGAAATGACCTCTCGCAAGCCGTGGCGCCAAATCCTACAACGTGAAGACCTGTCGTATGACGTGAGTAAACAATTCAACTTTTCTCTTCCTATCATGATTGTTTCTCACTTTATCAAGAAAGTATTTGACGCTTGCGGTTTTTCAGTAATTACGTCTTCCCTCTAATAGTGAACGCAAATGAGAGAGAAACCCCATAGTCACTGTTTGGGCGCCCGTTCCTTAAAGTTGCTAGCTGTTGGAAAACGAAAAAAACCTTAAGGGACTAAGTACTCCGCCCCAGGACTCCGCATCCACGATCTCCGCTTCAAGTCCCTATTCAGTGGGGTATTGTAAAAAGAAAGACAAAATATTTACCGAAAGTGGTAAATAACAAAGCAAAACAAGAAGCTATAGCAACGAGAAGATGATGGCTTGAGATGTTTACCAATGGGGAAAAAAACTGGATGACAAAACTAATTTCTTTGCAATGTTTTGAAGTACGGAAAAAAGTGAAAAACAAAAAAAGGTAGAAAATACGAATTCGAAAACCCCGAAGTTTGCGGCACTGCCTTCTCGACCCAGATATAACTCAATGTGGAACTACTAGAGGCTCAAATATATTTTTTAAAAAAGTTCCTACACAGCGCTAAGTGATTTGACCTAACTGACGTAATTGTCATGTCGCTCTCTGTCGCTAGGTTGAAAAACTGAATTCAGTATAAGGTGAGGAAGGATCTTGGTACCTGGTACTCATGAAGTTCCGAGTCTGAGAAGTGGCATGCGTGTTTGTGGCAATTATTCATTAGCTTGGTCGTAAACAGGTTTACAAGTTCAACAAAGTAACAAGGATTTTTAATTGCAAATTGTATCATCGGATCAGTTTATCCTATAAACGCGCGACCATTACATTATTGCATGTCTTAGATATGTGCACGATCAGTGACTCCACTAACATATACATACACTGTTTACAGGTAGCTATTACGACTCCTGAGGCGGAAGCAATTTTAAAAGGTTTAAAGCAACAAATTGCTTCACAGAAATGTATGGCCCTGAATCGCAAGTAGAGCGCCAAAAATAACAAAATTCGCAAAAGTAATAATAATTTGTAAATAATTTTGTAAATCTTGGTAGCAATTTTAGCAAAATAAATTCAATTAAAACAAACAAGGATTTCCATTGCAAGGGTTACAAAAATTTGCTGGCAAATCTCGGACAATGCAAGAGATTCCAGCCTGTTTTATATATCTCATTGTCGAACTAATTTTCGAAAATTCTCAATTCGGCTTCAAGGTCCTAAGTTTTTCAACTCGCTAAGTCGTGAAATTCAACAGTGAAAGTATCAGTTTGTTTGGCAGCAGACTTAAAAAATGCCTTCTCTCTTAGTCAAATATACTCTTTGTTGAGCTACACGCCTTTTCGTTATTTCTTTTTCTCTTTTTCTTTTCTCTTCTTTACTTTAATAAAAAAAAATAATCCAATTTTCCTTCAGTGCCCTTAACTCACATAGTGTAACCTATAGTGCCAGGAAGCCTATAGTTTATAAGCCCCTGGCTTATAGTAGGCTTCCTTGTCATTACCACTTTAAATATTTAATTTTTTAAACAGTTTAGTTAGAATCGAATAGTGTCTATTATCTTTAATGCATTATAAATTTCTTGTATATTGCTGTTGTATCTTGAATGAGTGAATTTTCACAAAAAAAAAGAAAAGAAAACTGCTTACAGAAATGTACAGCAAACATCGCAAATATAGCAAGTCGAGTAACAAGTTCAACAAAGAAACAAGGACTTTAATTGTAAGCTGTATCATCGGATCAGTTTATCCTATAAACGCGACCATCAAAATTTAGCATGTCTTATTTTGACTCCACTAACATATACATACACTATTTACAGCCACACCGCCGGACACTGGTGTGGGTTCTTTTACGTCCCACAAGAACCAGATAAATGAAAATGCTGTGAGACGGAACGTACGGTTTTTAGTCCTTATCCGTGAGGACTAGAAAGTCTAACAGTTTGCAGACGTCATAACAAACGCCAAAGGCAGCACTTTCTTTCTCAGTTATTTTAAGACCCTGAATGTTGGTCCGGCCGGGGTTTGAACCGCCGGCTGCGACCTCCTGCTCACTAGAACGGCGCTCTCTGGCACACGTTAAATTTGTGAAAAAATATTTAAAATGCGTCTGTCCAATGATTATATGTTCCAGTCTGGAACGTGTGCCTGACGCCAGATGCAAAAAAACCACTTAAAAAACACTCTTGACAAGTGGCTAAAAGATGTGTGGAAATGAATCCGCCTATAATGCGGTGGCACAAAACCTCGTGGAAAGCGCACTGAGGCACAGAAAGGTGAATACAGGAGCGTTTGGTCACAACAGGCTCCTGGTGAATACAAGGCCTCGTGAATACTATTCCTTGTTACATAGACAGACTAGACTACTCCAGAAAGAGATTAATTTCAAAGTTAACGAATGATATGCAGGTCCGAAAACCTGAGAAATAGTTACACAAGCTGTATACACAGATCTGAACGTAAGAAAAAACTTTATAAAACAAAACGATATATCCCGTGTTGTCTTTTCGTCTCTCGATCGTCGAGTGAAATAATCTGCAACAAAACTGCATCATCATCATCATCATCATCATCATCATCAATCTTTACTTTTAATTAGGCTAATCTTCGCCGTATAAAGTCCCGCCGCTATCACTCTGGTGCATCTGAAATAAAATAACATAACATTATTTCATTCTAAAAAAATTGGAAAATAAAATCAGAGAAAAAAAATCCTTACAAATTTCTCTCACTGATTAGAGTGATTATGGTTTGTCATTGACAGCTTAGTTGTTGACACGTATTTTATAAAATAACATTCCAATAACTTCAATTTTAGGAAAAATACAAACAGAAAACCTTTTCAAACAAACATTGAAACTAAATAGGCCGGTTTCCACCAAAGTTGTAGAGAAAAACCAAGAAACGAGTTTTTAAATTTAATTTTGCTTGGCTCGCAAAACCTATCAGATGGATGTTGCGATTTCAACCGGCCCCGCTTTGCTAGTAATACATCATATATAATATTCATACCACAACTAATTCATTGCAATCTTTTTAACCCTGAGTCAAAGACATGCGCCGACACCCTTTTAAATGGTTATAAGTTACACGATTATAAACTACAACTTTGGAATCGACTATGGCTTAAGGCTATGTTCACACTTGCTATTAATAACGGATAGGGCTTCTGTTCACACGTAAGAACGGTGATTTTGGTTGTTTTTTCTGTAAAGGTGAGTCAACTGCGCCGCGCAGCTGACTCTAAATTGAAGAGTCACATATCAGATACTTAGGTGTTCATACTATACCCGTGTCTCACATTTTTGCGTGCCTTTCACTCACGCGTCTTCCCTAGCATCTGAGAGCCTGGAACATGCTAGGGTGGCGGGAAAAATTAGTGCCGTTCTTTATTAAACTGCTCACTCATAAAAAAAAGATTTAAAATAAATCTTATACTTACTCTCGGACACAGGCGTTCATCGTGTTCTACAGGGCCTGTTCTTTCTGCTCCTTCATTGTTCCACGGTATCCCCGCTTGTAGTTCTCTCTGCTCTCTGATAACTTTTTCTTGATTTTCCCTTTTCGCACCCTCTAAGGAGAAGGGTTTCCTCCCGCTGCAGTTTGTTGTTGATGTTGCAGGTTGAGCCAAGTAGATTTTGATTAGAAAGTACATCACGACAAGCAATATGGTAAATGAGGCGATGCTGAAAAATAGTCCCAAAGTCATCTTTTGTGTTCCTGTTCAGTGGACCAACCGGAGGACTGAAATATAAAATGTTTGACATGAGTAACTTCGCGGACGAAGTCAGCAGGCAGCAGCGACTTAAGAGATGGGTTGTAGCTCCTTTTGGACAAGCAAGAGATTAAAGGTTTCTCTAGGGACAAGTTAATTCACGTCGTTTGATTTTTTTGAGTTCATTTAAGGGTACACGTGAGCGAATGATTAAGCCAAGCCAGGGGTTTAATGGCACATGCGGGGTCTTTTTAATTCAGGTATGCGGTATTTTGCCATTGCAATGCGATTAAATTGAATTTTTGGTGTTTGGTATTTGGACACGAACTTTTGGACAATTTTTCATATATGAATTTATGTTGACAGTTGACACTGTATGATGAATGATTTTCGTAGTCCCTTGGCCCTTCGTTATATCGAGGTTCCACTAGTATTGGCATCTTATTATACCTCTGAGATAAGGGGGGCTCCTTCCCTGGATCCGCCACTGCATTTTGTAAGAGGGGTTCTGCATGCAGTTTCCAAGTTACGATAAATGCACTTTCATATTGTCAATAGAAGTACATCGCATTCTGTCTTAGTCAAGAGTCTTACTCTTTGTAGAGTAGTACGTACAGCGAGCTCAAACCATGCCTTAAATGGTCCCTTACAGGAGGATAAAACAATGGAAAACTGAGGCCATCATCCAAAAACGTGGTCGCGCCTTTGTCGCTTACGACTGAGAGGTTCCATCTGTACTGATTTCACTGGGAAAATGTCGGTGATTTGGAAAGGTGGTCGCACATGGAACACCCCTCTGTAACAGACCCAGTGAAAAGCTACCAACCCAGTGATAATTTAGCCTCTTCGTGGCGAATAGTTTGTTTCTAGCCGGCTATCCCGTTTGCTTTCCAGGTCACTAGCTGTTATGACTTCCCAGTACAAAACCAGGGCACTTCGTTATTCATATTTGTTTAAAAGAACCAAACATATAAAACAATGGTACAGGTAATAGAGCCGAAACCAATTGTGGAATTGGACGCATTTTAGGCATCCTACTGATGAACAGTTAGGACACGTAGATATATTTTTTAGCAACTACTATAATTTGCAGTCTGTCTACTTTGAATTGAAAATCTTTTCTCGCTAGAGCAATATGTAAAAAGTTTTCAAAGGTTTCATACCGGTAAATATGTCAGGCCTGCCACCCTTCTTAGCTTTTATGGGAGATACACAGCTAACTAAAAAGAAAAAACACTAGAAAATAATACAACCCGGTGAACTTTTTCTTCAAGAACACTTACTCTAGACTCACTCTCACTAGGCCTGTTACAGATTGGTGTAAGTGATTTCACTGGAAAAATTTGGGTGATTTGGGGAGGTGGTCGCACATAGAGGTTCCACTGAATCTAGATAGATATATAAACGTTTTTTTCGATCACAGTCTAATTCTACATTTACTGTAGTTACAGTTACCCTAAACTCTTAAATAGAGACTTGATTTTAGGCTGCTCGGTTGCTGTGCAATCAATGTGTAATCCGTTTCAGTCTTCTTCAAGTTTGTCCACCCGTGCTTCTTTTTGTATTTGTTCTGTTATTTATACCTTCTTTTAACGACTATAACGTTTTGAGCGGTTGTTTTCACGTTTCACTTAATNCTGTAGTTACAGTTACCCTAAACTCTTAAATAGAGACTTGATTTTAGGCTGCTCGGTTGCTGTGCAATCAATGTGTAATCCGTTTCAGTCTTCTTCAAGTTTGTCCACCCGTGCTTCTTTTTGTATTTGTTCTGTTATTTATACCTTCTTTTAACGACTATAACGTTTTGAGCGGTTGTTTTCACGTTTCACTTAATTTGGTGACGGTTCCCAAAACTTGTTAGTCTAACAGTTTCTCAAAGTTCATTGCTGTTGTTTGCAACTTTTGAAATAATGCTTGGGAGACATATTTGTGACCTTGTCATTTAAAGAAATTTCTCAAGTTCCATAGATAATAAGGACGCGCAATTGGCATTATTTACAGAATGAACTAGAAAGCTGGGACAGAGCCCCTTTAAGTGTGTGATGCTGTCGACGAAAGCTGGTTTTATAAGCTTGAAAGGGTACTCTAACCCCAAAACAGACATTAAAACAATTATATGGAAATAGCACTATTTTGTATCGACCTTTCTTAAACTCATTAATAATTCATAAAGAAAAAACAAGGAGAAATCAATGTTTAATGAGTGTTGGAAAATAAGATCAAAACCTGCTCATTTTTTCCATCTTTAATTTCTCCTTCTAAAATCATTTTGTTTGAGAAGTAACATCAAGCATTCGCCAGATGAAACACATGGAAGTTTACGTTCGTCAAAAATACTCCGCTACGCGTCGTATCTTCAACTCAACCTCGTCCCCAGGGCTTTTCCCTTAAAAAATGGGTGGGCCCATATTTTTAAGGGAAAAACCCTGGGGACGAGGTTGATTTTAACTCTCTTCTCAGTGTTTCATTAGCCTGCGTAACAGGCGCTTTATGAGCCAAGCGAGACGAACGCGGCATTTTGTGCGAAGCGCGAGACGGAGAAAAAAAAAGAGTCTGTTACCGACGTTACCAGTCAACGCCCACAAATCTTGACTGACGGCGGTGATGTCAAAAGGACCAAAGAAAACCCGCCCCATTACTCAATTTTTCTGGCTACCAGAAACACCAACAGCGGCATAAACCACTGGAAATAACAGCTACGAGGGAATGAATCAACTAAGACTCAGTACAGCAAAAATAAGAACTGCTCAGTCGAAGTTTAGTTCATGTCCAAATTCTAAGGTCACGTTTCACATTGTAACGAGCTTGTGAGTCGTGTTTGGCCTGTCAACACATAATTTCAAAACGTTAGTAAATCAGGCTCTTTCCAAACCGAGTTGGAAGCAATCCAAGAATATCTTTCCTCTAACTGCGCTTTTCAAAAACACGCGAATTCAATCATAATTACGACCACAAGCAACAAACTTCTGGCTTGAAACACAGAAACACACAAAACGGATCAAGATCTACAAATCACAAATCACAAAGAATGACCTTTTGAACCCGTCGAAGTAAAGTTGTGTTTTCTACGAGCTCCGCTAAAATGTCTAAAATGGTTGACGGCAGCGAAAAACGCAAACGTCAGTTGGCTTTTGAACTTCAGAATTCGCGTGTTTGTTAAAAGGGCGGTAAGCAATACATTTGAACATTTCTTTTGTTTTCCCTTTATTTCTGGAACATTTGCAAGTAAACAAAGAACTTTCTCATCAGCATCGTCAAAAAAACATGACCGCGTCACTGCCATTTTGTTCCAGACAAACATGCCAGAATCACGCTAGAGCAACGCGTCAACAATTAACCAATTGGAGCGCGACATTCATGTGGTGAACGTGGGAAGAGCCAGAACAATGGGCTGGTAACAGGCGCTTTATTTTTTCTCTTCCACCCGTCGCGCGATTCACGCAAAATGCCCCGTTCGCCTCACTTGGCTCATGTTTGATAAAGCGCCTGTTTAATAAGCAGGCTAGTGTTTCATCAGTTGATGAAACACTGCTCGTCTCATGCTTGATAAATTACGTCAAATGTTTAGCCATTCTCTTGTAGTTTTCGCGCTCAGTTTTTGTTCTGTGTTCTTGGTTTCAAAGTAAAGCTTGTTTGACATCATGAGATCGATACTTTATTCTGACTTTGATTTATTTTGCAAGCTGTGTTGAGTAAATATGGAGTAGAAAGCTTTATCGGTAACCATTTCCAGACATATTTTTATCAAGAATTAATTTTCCAAAAATTCTTTTAGATAGGATATTTAGTTTTTCGCTTCGCATCGTTCTCGGAGACCCAGGGGCAGTCACAGTGGGCGCCCATGCTTTAATACTTTCGCTTCGCCTTTTATCCAGACCCAATTGACTCATGACCCTGGGCCCTCGAGGATGATTCCGAATATAATAAACAATTATTCTTTGAAATCGAGGTAAATATTCCTAAAGCCACTATTCATCGAGATTAAAAAGAATATTTGTTTTAGTATATACACACCAAGTGATCTCAACAAAATCGGAAAGGAAACAATTAAAAAGTACGATTTGATTAACGGCTCAAATCATGCAACATATACCTATATGGCTTTTATAAGGGAGTACAACCCGGGCTTTTTTTAAAGCTCTCTCCTCTCACCCCTCTTCAGGAGAGAGGTCGAGCCCGCTCTTCCACCTTTTAAAATTATTTTGAAAAAAAATAGCTCATATGTCAGTGGTTTGAGCTTATGTATCTTTGTGGCTTTGCATGTTCGGATGTTTGTTGAGGGGGCCAATAAGGTTGAAAGTACTATGAGTTGATCCGCAGGAACCAATGAGATTTTGGCATCTAACCGTTAATGACACTGCCAGGAGCAGTAATCGGCTCCTGACACTGCTTAAGGTTAAACAAGGGTACTTAGAGACCGCCATCTTGATTCTTCACAATTTTTACGTCTTTTATTACGGCAGAAGGTGTTTAGAAGCATAACATTGAAATATCTTCATGATTCAAACGCTGAGTACAGTGATGCAGCTGTTGACCGGTCCGCTAGTTTTAGTGTGGGTGCTGCTTCAAGACGTTCGACCTAATTCGGCTATCACAAACGGTACAACTCGCATTTATGAGTTCTGTTTCACCTGCTTCAGGGAAGAGGATAAAAGATCATATATTTTTCAAAGCTCTTCCAAAGAAACAATAATTGAAATGTAGATATGGACTTTCATTCGGAAGTTTGTGGCCTATTAAATTGTTGTTTTAGAAGTTTGAAAGGCAAGGCGAGTATTAATCCTGTAAACAAGCTTTACTTTCTCGCTTACAAAGTTCAACACAGCTGTCAACAGACCTTTTTCGTAACGGCCAAAAAAAAAACATGAACTAGTTGAGGAAAATGATACATACTTGCTCCTTAAGAGTTATCATAGTTATGGAAACATATTTTAGTTTATTAGAAAGATGCGTAACCTAAGTCGAAACGGTAGCGGTCAGGGAATTAAGTTGGA